AATGAAAACTGACCTTTTCCAGTCCTATGGCCACTGCTGAGTTTTCCAAATTTGCTGACATATTGAGTGCAGCACTTTCATAGCATCATCTTTTAGGATTTGAAATAGCTCAACTGGAATTCCATCACCTCCACTGGCTTTGTTTGTAGTGATGCTTCCTAAGACCCACTGGACTTTGAATTCCAGGATGTCTGGCTCTAGATTGGTGATCACACCATCATGATTATCTGGGTCCTGAAGATCTTTTTTGTACAGTTCTTCCGTATATTCTTGCCACCTCTTCTTAATATCTTCTGCTTCTGTCAGGTCCATATCATTTCTGCCCTTTATTGAGCCTATCTTTGCATGAAATGTTCCCTTGGTATCTCTGATTTTCTTGAACAGATCTCTAGTCTTTTGCATTCTATTGTTTTCCTCTATTTCTTTGCATTGATCACTGAGGAAGGCTTTCTTATCTCTCCTTGCTATTCTTTGGAACTCTGCATTCAAATGGGTATATCTTTCCTTTTTTGCCTTTGCCCTTTGCTTCTCTTCTTTTCTCAGCTATTTGTAAGGCTTCCTCAGACAATCATTTTCCCTTTTTGCATTTCTTTTTCTTTGAGATGGTCTTGATCCCTGCCTCCTGAAAAATGTCACAAACCTCTGTCCATAGTTCTTCAGGCACTCTGTCTATCAGATCTAATCCCTTGAATCTATTTCTCATTTCTATTATATAATCATAAGGGGATTTGATTTAGGTCATACCTGAATGGTCTAGTGGTTTTCCTTACTTTCTTCAATTTAAGTCTGAATTTGGCAATAAGGAGTTCATGATCTGAGCCACAGTCAGATCCTGGTCTTGTTTTGGCTGACTGTATAGAACTTCTCCATCTTTGGCTGCAAAGAATATAATCAATCTGATTTCGGTGTTGACCATCTGGTGATGTCCATGTGTAGAGTCTTCTCTTGTGTTGTTGGAACAGGGTGTTTGCTATGACCAGTGCGTTCTCTTGGCAGAACTCTATTAGCCTTTGCCCTGCTTCATTCTGTACTCTAAGGCCAAATTTGCCTGTTACTCCAGGTATTTCTTGACTTCCTACCTTTGCATTCCAGTCCCCTATAATGAAAAGGACATCTTTTTTGGGTGTTAGTTCTAGAAGGTCTTGTAGGTCTTCATAGAACCATTCAACTTCAGTTTCTTCAGCGTTACTGGTTGGGGCATAGACTTGGATTACTGTGATATTGAATGGTTTGCCTTGAAAACGAAGAGAGATCATTCTGTTGTTTTTGAGATTGCAGCCAAGTACTGCATTTCAGACTCTTTTGTTGACTATGATGGCTACTCCATTTCAAGAGATGGGAATACCAGACCACCTGACCTGCCTCTTGAGAAACCTGTATGCAGGTCAGGAAGCAACAGTTAGAACTGGACATGGAACAACAGACTGGTTCCAAATAGGAAAAGGAGTACGTCAAGGCTGTATATTGTCACCCTTCTTATTTAACTTAGATGCAGAGTTCATCATGAGAAACGCTGGGCTGGAAGAAGCACAAGCTGGAATCAAGATTGCCAGGAGAAATATCAATAACCTCAGATATGCAGATGACACCATCCTTATGAAAGAGAGCGAAGAAGAACTAAAGAGCCTCTTGGTGAAAGTGAAAGAAGACAGTGAAAAAGTTGGCTTAAAACTCAATGCTCAGAAAACTAAGACCATGGCATCCGGTCCCATCACTTCAAGGGAAATAGATGGGGCAACAGTGGAAAGAGTGACAGACTTTATTTTCTGGGGCTCCAAAATCACTGCTGATGGTGACTGCAGCCATGAAATTAAAAGATGCTTGTTCCTTGGAGGAAAGGCTATAACCAACCTAGACAGCATATTTAAAAGCAGAGTCATTACTTTGCCAACAAAGGTCCATCCAGTCAAAGCTATGGTTTTTCCAGTAATCATGTGTGGATGTGAGAGTTGGACTAAAGAAAGCCGAGTGCTGAAGAATTGATGCTTTTGAACTGTGGTGTTGGAGAAGACTCTTGAGAGTCCCTTGGACTGCCAGGAGATCCCACCAGTCCATCCTAAAGGAGATCAGTCCTGGGTGTCCATTGGAAGGACTGATGCTGAAGCTGAAACTCCAATACTTTGGCCACCTGATGGGAAGAACGGACTCACTGGAAAAGACCCTGATGCTGGGAAAGACTGAAAGCAGGAGAAGGGGACGATAGAGGATGAAATGGCTAGATGGCATCACTGACTCAATGGACAAGAGTTCAAGTAAGCTCTGAGAGTTGGTGATGGACAGGGAAGCCTGGTGTGCTGCAGGCCGTGGGGTTGCAAAAAGTCAGACACGACTGAGTGACTGAACTGAACTGAAAGCAACATTAGCAGAACAAACACTAATGAAAAAATAACTTATATGAAATAATCTTTCACTTGGACTGAGGTTCTAACTACAGTCTAAGAGTAGAACAAATGAGAGTCTCTAAATCATAACAAATAAACATCCTCCAAAGATAAGCATCAAGTTTGTAATTTTGTACCATGGAAGATACAGCTTTTCTGATTTAAAAAACTCGAAATTGTTCTCCTTATACCACAAAACTTTAGCACAACCAGGGACTGACCTAAAAATCTACTATTAGAGATACCTGAAAGTTTTCCTTCACTTGTGAAAAGTCAGATCTAGCTGGCCATGTCACAGTTGGCGAATACTTCTGCAAAGATTTAACTAGATAGGACCTTTTCCAGTCAGAAACAGAAAAAGAACTTGACACTGCCAAACTCTAACCACCTAGAATGACAAACTTGTGTCTTCTTAAATGCTGTAGGCTTCTCAAGTCATCGGTCATCCTCATGCAAAAGTGGCTACATTATAGTGGAACAATCAGTCCAAAAGCCAAAGAACTCTTTGCAGAGTCCAAAGTCTCCGTGAAAAGAACCTCCTCTTCTACCAGTAGATTTTTTTCACTGCCCAACCAGTTCCCACTATCTGAGAGAATTGGGGAGAAAGAGAGTGAGGAACTTATTACTGATTATCATTAAAGCTAATTCAAAAGAGCAGGGGCTAGGAAATAAAAAGAAGCAAATACCTTCTGGGTAATGCTTAGAAAGGCCCTGACACATGTCATCTTTTTCTTGACAGTTCAAAAAGCTTCAGAGAAATAACATTCCTGTGAAATAAGGATAAAATTAGCCTACTACATTTGGAAAAATCAATGGTGGCTCAAGTTTACACTAAGTGTATTAAGACCCAGAACTTTCTTAAAGAATCAATAGGCAACAATGTAAGGCAATTATCCTCCAAATAAAAATAATAATAAAAAAAGAAGTAATGGGCAAAGTCATTAGTAAGGCAGCCAGGGTATGCTGGAGTCCCTGAATTAGTCCTACCTAAAGGAGAAGGGATAGGGCAGTTAAGGAATGACGACAGCAGAGAAAAAACAAACAAGAGGTCACTCTGCTTGGTTTCAAACTAAATAACATTCCAACCGTAACCAAGCCAAAGAAGAACTGCCTTTCCACAGAACACACCAGGGTATGGTTTTGGTATTTCTTTCCCCACAGTTACCTTGATGCTCATTTTAATCCAAAAACAAAAAGGAAAGCTAGTGACATTCTGTGATATAGTGAGCCTCTAACCAACTCTTAGTAGTGTATCATACTGGTCAAATCTTCCTTCAGCAAAGAGGTCATTTCCTGGGATAAATCAATGGTTAAATTTGGTAAGGGCTGCACGGTGGAGAGGGCCTTGAGGTCAGAGACTTGAGTCTGATTTCCAATCCTGGTACCTATTAGAGGGGTTATCTGAGTCAAAGAAAATCTTAATTTCTGAGTCTTAGTTTCCTCATCTGCAAAATGGGACTAATTACAGCTATTCTTTAGGTCTCTGGTAAGGAGGGAGACTATATAAAGTGGTTGACACACCATAAGAGTTATTATTTCCATGAGCTTCTACTAAATGCTGTCATGATACAGGCGAATGCTCTCTTTGTTGCAAATGATAAAATTTCTGAATGCGCTTAGTTTTCAAAATTGTTTTTGTACATCTTTCCTAACCGTGAGGAATACAGAGGCAAGCAATTGAATAAAATAAAATTTCGGGAGCACCTAACGGTTTATAAAATGTTTAAGAGCTCGGAATTAAAGACACCTAAATCTTAAACAGCCACTAAGTAGTAGAGATAAAACAAAAACCCAGGCACCCTAGCAACCTAGGCGGATCTTTCCTCCGCCCACTGATCTCACTTAAGTGCTGCGGGATGCTTCCAGCCGGGGTAATTTCCGGCCATCTGAGTCCTCACTCACCAACACCACGTGCTGGAGACGCGGCGTTCTGCCTCGATGCCGCACTACGAGGGCGGGTTCTGGCCTTCGAATGTCGAAGGTCACTTAAGAGGCCTCTTGAACAGGGCTCACTCTTATCCGAGTGAAAAGGGGTACCGCTCTCCCCTCTCTCCGAGACTTCCATCGTCCTGACCGCCACCGCGTCCTCGGCCCTCGCAACTGCCCCCGCTTCGGCTTTCCCGTCCTCAGCCCCCGCTTCGGCTTTCCCGTCCTCGGCGCCCGCAGGTACCGCTATCCGCAGCGGGCGGGGCGCGAAGGAATGCGTCCGCCTTTATGGACGGCCCGCCGCCTTGCTTTCATTGGGTAGCCTCATCTTATCTCCGCCCCCAAGTTTTTTTTTTTTAACTTTCTCAATGATTGGGCCTGGGCATTGTCCATCCCAATTCTCGAGCACCGCCCCCTTCTCATCGGCGGGTAGACGCCCCCCGCCAGGTATTCTGCGCCCGCGCGCGCGCCTCCGCGATGCCCTGTGTCGGGGGAATTGGGTGCACCTGGCCGGGTCCGAGCCTTGTAGAGACCGGCCCCTCCTCCTGCGCCAACCCCACCCACCGGGCCTCCCCTCTCCACAGCTCTCCATCCCTGAGCTCTCTCCACCTGGTCCGCGATTCTTCCGCCCCTCGCTCCACCACCTCTCAGACGCCCTGGGCGCTCTGGCCGAGCGGGCGGCGAGCTGGGGGGATGCGCTCCATCAAGGCTCTACAGAATTCGCTGAGCAGGGCCGGCAGTCACTGCCGGCGGGGAGGCTGGGGTCACCTGAGCCAGAACCCTCTCCTTGGCTGGGGTGCCCGGCACCACCTCAGTGAGCCGGCGGCGCAGGGCAGGGAGACGCCGCACAGCCTCCAGACGCAGCACCAGGACCAGTAAGACTCACGGGACAGGGGCAAGGGACAGGCTCGCTCCCACTCCCACTGCGGCTCCCGCTAGCTTCCGAGTCCTATTCCCGTCTCCCTTCTCCTCTCCTCGCTTACTGGCCTGCGATGCCTTTTCCACTAGATTTGGGGCTTTGGGTCCGCCAGGCTCGGGCGGTAACGCGCCGTCCGCCCGGGAGGGCTTTTGGGCAGGTCGGCGCTCGGGATGGTGCCTATCCAAGGTGCGTACTTAAGTGGGAATGCTGGTGGGCGCGGAGTGTTGATTGGTGCACGTCTCTGAGTGCAGTGTGAGCACTGCCCATCCTCACCCCACCTTTTTCCCCTGATCCTCATGTGTATTTTCGGGGATGCGTGGGTGTGGAACAGCCTGCCTCGTGTCCTGGTGTACTTGGATCTGTGTGTGGCCTGTCTGTGTTTCGGCATGTAATGTGTGATGCTCAAGTGTTATTGGTACGCAGATACGTGCGTATGTCGTCTGCGTATGTGTTGTATGCGTAATCAGGACTCCCTAATCTAGAATAAGGGTAGTTCTCCGATTGGTTTTGAAGGAGGAAAATCTGTAATGGAGGGGAAGATCCTAAGACGCAGATCTCCCAAACCAGAACCAGTAGCATTAAAGGTGCTGCTCAGGCGGCTCCCTGCTTTAAGGTGTTTCCGTCCTGTGGTCTCTTACTCAGCCCGAGAGGCTGAACCTCGCTCCCCAACGACCCAGGAACGTTTGGTGGATGAGCCTCTTGTCTTCCACACGCAGAAACAGACTGAGCAGGAAATTTTATCGTCCCCAGAAGCCAACACAGACACTATGCAGGTAGCCCCTGCTCTTTTATAGCAAGAATAAGAAATGAACCAACTTCCCTGTCATTGACATCTATTAATGGCAATCATCAAGACATGCACACTATAATTAAAGGAACCAGACAGACCACTCGGTCCTCTACCTCACCACCACTGGATTTCCTGTCCTGGAGTGTCAGTTGAATTCTGCAGGCCAGAATACTGGAGTGGGTAGCCATTCCCATCTCCAGGGGGTCTTCCCAACCCAGGGATCGAACTCAGGTCTCCCACATTGCAGGCAGATTCTTTACTGTCTGATCCACCCAGGAAGCCCCCTGTCTTGGACAGGTAACATTCAGTAAGCTTTCTCTATTTATCCTTGATGGCTCAGTGGTAAAGAATCCACCTGCCAGCGCGGGAGACTCCAGTTCTGTCCCTGGGTGGGGAAGATCCCCTGGAGAAGGAAATGCAACCCACTCCAGTGTTGTTGCCTGGGAAATTCCATGGACGGAGGAGCCTGCCGGGCTACAGTCCATGGAGTTGCAAAAGAGTCAGACAAGAGTTAGCAACTAAACAATTTATTATTGGTAGGAATTGTTACTATGCTATACATCAGCCTCTTTTCAAGGAGACACAGAATGATTAAACTGTAAAGAATAAACCTTCTGTCTCCCGGTCTACTCTCCATCCAAACTTTTCCCAAATAATCACCTTGAGAGAAATAGTGGTGGGATAGAGAAGAGGTTTAATCTCCCTCACCCTCACATTTTCTGTGGGATGGGGAGCAAGAGACATCCCCGGTTCCTGCACACACACACCTCCTTCCTTATCCTGTGGCTCAGGTAATAGAAGCGGTGTGTGTGTGCAGCTGGAGTATCTGATTTGCAGTTGGAAGTGTTCTTAGGAAACTTGATTCTCCTACCTATTGCTGCCTGTATGCCCAGAGACTTCTCGGTAAAGGCCTTGGACTGACCCTCCTTTGGGCAGGAGTTGAGGGCATGGAGGGGGATGTGCTCTGGGAAGGTGGCACCATGAGGGGAACATGTTCTTGGTGGAGAAGAAGGGCAGCCAAGAGGAAAAGCCCTGTAATTCAGGTTATTGTTTTGTTTTTTAATATTTAGCTTTATTTCTGATCATTAAAGAAAAACAAGGCAAATATAGTATCAAGGAAAAAATTAAGGTCCCAATATTAGAGGTAACCATATATCTGTATTCAATATATCCATGATTTATATCCACATATATACTATATGCTATATATGGATATATAAAAATTTAACAAAAGTAGGATCATAGTATTCCTATTCTTTGATAGCCTATCTTTTCCATTTATAAACAGCTTTTAATATGATTTAATGTGTGCATGCATGATATTGTCCTTTTAATGGCTGCTGTTTTGTCATTGTAAGATTCCGTTGTATTGAGATACCCTAATTTATTTAACCAATCTTCAGTTTGGTTACCACATATTCTTATGCAGTTGTTCAATTATGTCTTAGAGTAAATTCTTAGGAAATTTTGCTTCACAGAGACATCTGTAATTGATATCTTGTACAACCCTCTAGAGATATTCTATGCAAATATCAACAAATATATGTTGGTATCTCTGGTAGGGGAACTAACATCCCGAACGCTGCCTGGCCCAGCCCTGCCTCCAAAAAAACCCAAGAAGGCAAGACAGTAGAGGGGGAAGATTGTTTTCTGTCAGTAAGATGGTATGTTGTGTCATACCAGCACCATAAGCAAAATCTAGGAGTCTGGGGAAGCCTTTAGAGTTAATAACATTCGACATGGGCCTTGTAGGATGAGCAGGATGAGCAGGTGAAGGAGGAAAAGGTCTTTATATGCAGAAGTTTCAGTATACACAACAAAGACCAGGAATCCTGACAGTGCCTTAGCCCCTTTGGGAGCCCCATATTCATTACCTGTCCCGTAATATATAGTAATACCATACTGTAGTACCATGGTGTAAATGTAGTATAAACAAGTGTTCTTCAGCTTGCTTCTTTTATTTAATATTACTCCTGGCATAACTGGAGTTTGGGGGCATGGTAGAAAGTAGGAAAGGAATGTTGGCAGGTTTTAAAGAACCTTTAATGCCATACCAAGAAATAGAACTTACTTTGTAGGTACTAGGGAGCTATCAAAGGTCTGATTAAAGAAATAATATTTGAGTTTTAGAAAGATAACTGTCACATTGTGAACAGTGGGTTGCAAGAGAATGTGTAACGGACAAACAGGGAGCCAGTGAGCATCTACTTTGTGAAAGCTTTTCATGGAATGTCACTGAAATTAAACCTCACATTACCCATGTGAGACAGATATTAAACCCTTATTTCAGAGATGAGGAAGCGGGTCCAGCTGTGTTAAATAACCTGACTTACTATCCATATTAAGATCACACAGCTATTATGGGGCAATACTTTCTACTACCCTATTCCAGCAGAGGGGGAGAGAAGAAAAGCGTGTGGATTTGATAGATTCATCCCGGTTTGGTTATGGGTGTAAGGTATGGGGATCGTCCAAATGATTCCACGTTTCCAGCTCGGCCCGTGGGTAAGTGGTAACACTGTGAATCCAGTGGCAAGCACGGCAGGAGGAGCCGAGGGAGGGAGATGGGCAAGACGACCTCGGACTTGGACATGCTGAGTGTGCAGCGCTATGGTACATCTAGAAATGCAGTTATTTAGGAGGCAACTAGAAACGTACGTCTGAAGTTTAGGAACAAAAGAAAGCTGGAGAACAGGACAGAGGTGAAGGTTAGAATTATAGGGGTAGATCAGATGGTTCAGGGAGGAGGTGTAGACCAGGGACACCTCCCTGCTGATCAGCCCTTGTTCGAGCAGGAGCAGCAGGGTGCAGTGCTCAGGTCCCTGTCTGCCTCCCCATCTCTGCCTCCAAACAGTGACTCTTCAGAGAGTGGCATGCTGTCCCGTCTGGGTGACCTGCTCTTCTACACGGTTGCCGAGGGACAGGAACGAATCCCTATCCACAAGTTCACCACTGTAAGTTCCCCTCCACCTGCTCAGGATACTAGTCCCTTAGGATCTCTGGAAACTGGGAAAAGGAAGGTAGGACAGGTACAAGGCAGCTAATGGGCGGCTTCATTATGAGGATGAAAACGAACTGATGATAGCAGATAGCCTAGGCTGTCCCAGCTAGGGGACAGAAACCAGCTGCCTTGATGAAAAAGGGCGGGAAACCCATGTTAGCCTTCAAAATTGCTATACTCCATCCTTTCTTAGCCTGAAAACCCATTTGTTCCACCTGTTGTAGTAATGGGGGTTGAGTTCATTGTTATCTATTGGGGAAAATGATTAGGACTGGACTGTTGTCCTTGTAGTTGGCCTCACCCGGCTTCTTTCCCCGGAAGGCGCTGAAGGCCACCGGACTGCAGACGTCAGATCCCCGGCTCCGGGACTGCATGAGCCTGATGCGCCGCATGGTTCGCGAGTCCAACAGCGGTGGCCTCTTGGACCGAGACCTCTTCCGAAAGTGAGGGCCCAGGAAACAAGGGCACCCCCTCTCAAAACTGTTCTGGGGACACAGACTTTAACTGCTGGGAGGGATCCTAGGGATTCAAGTCAACCCCTCACTTAATGTTATTATTTACTGCTTACACAAGCAACACGTGAATATGCCTATACTTATTTAAACAAGACCCAGAAAGACCCAGTGGTAGACCAAAGGGGACACAGCTGTTGGTCCCGAGCCCGACGACCGCTCACTCACACTTTTTATTCCCAGGCCCCATGCCTCCACATGAGTCACAGCTGTGTCTCTCAAGCCCCCTAACCCAATCATGTCTGGGATCCAGGTGTGCGAGCAGCAACATTGTGCTACTGACTCAGGCCTTCCGAAAGAAGTTTGTCATTCCTGATTTTGAGGAGTTCACGAGCCACGTGGACCGCATCTTTGAGGATGCCAAAGAGCTCACTGGAGGCAAGGTGAGGGCCGGGGCGCTGGGCCGGGTATACCTTGCTTCTCGGGGGTTTCCTGGCACTGGAAGCCCAACTGACAAGAGATGAGAAGCAGAACCTCTAAAAGTGGGGGACAAGGACTTTATGTATTTTTACCTGTGATTTCTAGAGCAAGTGAGGGAATCTGATGTTTTTATGGAGACAACTGACATAAGGGTTCAACAGAACTTTGACAGAGACTATAGGGTTGTTGAGCCTAAGAAGAGAAAGGAAAGCTAACGCAGTATTCTCTTTGTTTTGATACCTTTTATGCACTTTACTGCTGTCTCTATAGGAGTGGGTCTGCAGAAGGGTAAGGCCTAGGACTTAAGGCTTCGGTGTCTCTAGGAACACCAGGAAGGAGGGAACCCTCTTGTCCTGCAGAAGTCGGAATTTTAGCTCTTATCTAAAAGATTCTCCTGATCTGAACCTTGGCTCTGTTCCCCGCTCCATGTCTGTTTCTCCATTCTGTCTTCTCTGCCCGCTCCTACCCAGGTGGCAGCCTACATCCCTCAGCTGGCCAAGTCAAACCCGGACCTGTGGGGCGTCTCGCTGTGCACCGTGGATGGCCAGCGGTGAGGAGTGGGCACGGGCGGGCGCGGGCGCCGGCGCAGAGCGGGGCCAGCCCGTCACGGCCCGTCTGCCCCCAGGCACTCCGTGGGCCACACCAAGGTCCCCTTCTGCCTGCAGTCCTGCGTGAAGCCCCTCACCTACGCCATCTCCATCAGCACCCTGGGCACGGACTACGTGCACAGGTTCGTGGGCAAGGAGCCCAGCGGCCTGCGCTACAACACGCTCTCCCTCAACGAGGAAGGTGAGCGCCCCGGGCCCAGGCCAGGCTCACCGCCGCCCCTTCCTGTCCCACTCTTCTACCGAGGGCTTGTGCTGCTGTGCCCTTCCGTTTTTATCTTTGGCTGCAGTAGGTCCTCCCTGCTCTGCAGACTTTCCCTAGTGAGGCGCGTGGGGCTGCTCCAGCTGCGGCGCGCTGTCCTCAGGGCGGTGGCTTCCCTTGCGGACCACCGGCCCTGGGGCACTCCGTCTTCAGCAGCAGCAGCGCTCGGGCTCAGGAATTGCAGCACACGGCCTTAGTTACCTTGTGACATGTGCAGTCTTCCTGGACCGGGGATCCAGCCCGTGCCCCCTGCATTGGTGGGGGGATTCTGTACCACTGGACCACCAGGGAAGTCCTCTGCCCTTCCTGCCCAGCTCTGTCACGCCGTCCTCCCCAGCAAAGAACCATTTCCCATCTACCCTGCAGAGGGGGCAGGCTGTAAAGGTTTTACTCAGGGGCTGATAAGACTGGGTGGTTTGTGTTTCCCCAGGAATCCCCCATAACCCCATGGTCAATGCTGGCGCCATTGTCGTGAGCTCCCTGATCAAGGTCAGTGCTACCTGATGCTTCTGGAAGGTACTGCTCTCTAGCTCACCTTGTTCTTCTCTCCTTCATATCTGCCTGTCTCTCCAGGGAGACTGGTGGGGCCTTGATTCCCTTGAGGGTGCCCAGGAGGCAGTGAAGACACAGCAGGGACTCATAAAATATGCTGAGGACATTAGTAAGAGGAACTGTATCCCTGCCCCCACCCATGAGTCTGGAGCCCAGAGCTTCCTGGCCCAGAGAGAAGACAGCAGTTCCTGACCCCAGCCTAGGACCACGGGCCAAATGCCAGACACAAGGGGAGGACAGCTCTTTTGGGTACTGATTGGCCACTTCTGGGTGAGGGACACAGGAAAGAAGGGTGAATGGCCAGACCAGAGCAGCTATTCACGTCACCTGGAGCTGTGAGCTGGCCTTGAGCAAGGATGTCAGGCCAGCCTGTCAGCTGTAGGCCTCCCAGGGCTTGAGCAAGCACCCGAGAGCCACGTGGGCAGCAACAATCCAGAGCCAATCACAGCCCCTCCCAAGGAAGGTGGTGTTAGGAGCCCTCCCCCAGGGACCCGGGTGTCAGAGTTCCTGCCGTGTTGACACTCTAGTTGACACGGACAGGAAGCAATTGGAGGTTTGGGGCGAGGACCAGGCTCTCCCCTTGCTCTGGGATCACTCTGTCTACAACCCTGTATCTGGGACCTGCCCCATCCCGTTCCCATCTAAACAGGCCCTAGTGACATGACCCTCAGCTAAAATCTTTCACTTTACTTCAATTATCAATATGGTTTATACAGTTGAGAATTACAGTGTTTGCAGCACACAGCCTCCTCCCTTCCCCATCACTCACTCCAGCCTTGGAGATGGCTGTGGGCGTCAGGGATAGGAGAGTAAGGCTCCAGCGGGGGCATAAGCAATGAGGATGGGGCGCAGGAGCAGGGGCGGGGCTTGGGGACTGCACGGGAAGCAGGAACGTGGAACTGGCAGTGAGGGATGAGGACTGGCGTTGAGAATGGAGATGGGAGTGAAACTCAGGGACGGGTGAGGCTCACAGATGGGGTGAAAGTATTTGGGCTCATTACTTGATCATAAACTCTAAATGGGTTTTAAAATCACTACATAGACATGGATACAAAAACTCTGTTTAAAAAAAAAAAAAAAGCCACTGTACAACGCAACACATGCCAAGTAGCAAAACCAGTCTAACAGCTTGTCTCCGCTGGGTCCTTCTGGGCCCCCCGTCAGCCTCCTAGGCTTAGAACGTCTTTCCGTTGCCTTGCAGATGGACTGTAACATAGCAGAAAAGTTTGACTTTGTAAGTCCCCTCGCTGCTGAGCCCCTGGCTGCTGCTCTCCGTGGCACGGTGTCCACCCCAGCCGCCCCGGTGCCTGGCTTTAACCCCACTTTGATGGTGCACCAGCCCGTACTGGAAGCCTTCTTTCCAGAAGTGCGGGCGTCTGGTGTCAGGGAGGAGGCCCCTCAGACCCCCTGCTGGGACGAGGCCTGGGGCGCGCAGAAGCCTGTGTGCTCACTCGGGGCCTTCATTCCTGGGGTGCCTCCCACGCGCCCTCTTCTCTTCCAGGTCTTGCAATATCTGAACAAAATGGCTGGGAATGAATACATGGGTTTCAGCAATGCCACGTAAGGCCCTGTCCACAGGACTGGCTAAATGTGTGTGGGGGGGGTTCTGAGTGTGTGTACACACCTGCTGGGGGGCGCCGTGTGGGGGGGGACATGGTGAATCAAGGACAGAGAGAATGCTAGGAGGAAGGGATCCCAGGGGAACTTTGACCTCCCAGCTTCCTGCCTGCCCCATCCTCGACATTTGTTTGCTTTGTAAAAGAATTTGTTCCATTTCTGTTTAGTACTTAATGTGAAAGACAGCGTGAGTCTGCACCTGGGCCCTTTCTTGCCAAGCTTCACCAAGCCAAAAAGGCCGTATTCCTAGGCTAGGTGACCACACCATGGGGTTTGGTTGTGTTTTTCACCATAACGCTGGGCCCAGCGCTGGCTTAGGCTCGGACATTTCCTCCAGAACCGCTGGGAGAATCTGTGAAAGGGCTGACCTAGTTTGACGTGTGCCATCTAGTTTTCTCTCTCAGGGAAGGTATTTTCCCCCTTCTCCTCACACCCATCTTTCAAATGTCAACTACTAAACTGGGTGTCTGCTTCAGATTCCAGTCAGAGAAGGAAACGGGGGACCGGAATTATGCCATCGGGTATTATCTAAAGGAAAAGAAGGTAACCGGGAGAGGCGGGAGAGAAGGCCCCTGGAGACTCTGCGGCCGGTGGGAGGGCGGGGGGCTGGGGACGGTGGCAGCGTGGGGGACTGCTGATGGCTCCCTCCTCTCCTTCCTCGCAGTGCTTTCCTAAAGGGGTGGACATGATGGCTGCCCTTGATCTCTACTTCCAGGTGAGCAAACGGCGCCACTCAGCCCAGGGCCGAGGGAATACGACAGACCGCCTTCCTTCCTGTGACCCACGAGATGGTCACCAGGGGTGCTGGGGTCCTTCAGAAACACCAGGGCAGTTTGCTGAGGGCTCAGGGTGTCGGGAACTCCGCTCCACACCTCCGAGCACAGCGCGGGCCCACGCCCAGCCTCAGCTGCGCCCCATCCCCACAGCTGTGCTCCGTGGAGGTGACCTGTGAGTCGGGCAGCGTCATGGCGGCCACTCTAGCCAATGGCGGCATCTGCCCCATCACCGGAGAGAGCGTGCTGAGCGCCGAGGCCGTGCGCAACACCCTCAGCCTCATGCACTCCTGCGGCATGTACGACTTCTCGGGCCAGTTTGCCTTCCACGTGAGTGCGTCTGGCCCTGCCATCCACTGTCACGAGCCCAGAGCCAAGGAGAGGCGCTGGGTCTCTGAAGGTGGGGAGGGGGGCCTGTGTTCCTGCCTCTCACTAACCTCCAGCCGGGCAATTCAGGCCGGGAATCCTCAGGGCACTTTGCCAAACACAGCAGGCCCCTCCAACACACGAACGCAGGCGCGTACAATTTCAGCAGCACTCCTCTGCCACCCTTCACACGGCTGCAGACTCTTCAGGTCTCATACAGGCAGTCACTTCCAGAGAGGCCTTTCTGACCACCCACTTCTCCACTGGATACATCCCTCCCTCCCTCCCACTTCATCCTCAGTCACAGCACCCTGCTCTTTTTCCAGTGTTATCCTAAGTTGTGATTACTTTTGCCTTTGTCTACCTGTTTATTGTCTACCTCCTACCACCAAAATGTCAGTTAACTGACAGGCTTTGTCCTAGCTCTAAGACAGCTTCAGGCACAGAGCAGATAGGTTCCTTACTGAAGCCACAAATTTAAAAGAGGGGAGGGGAGGACAGGCATAAGAAAAGGCACTTAACAAGCCAACAGTTTGAGATGGGCGTGGCCTTGCCCATGCAGCCATTTGGGATCGGCTAACTTAACCCAGAGTTGGGGCATCTCTGGCTCATCCTCAGCTCCAACTTTGTCCCCAAGGTGGGCCTGCCGGCCAAATCAGCCGTGTCAGGAGCCATCCTGCTGGTGGTGCCCAGCGTCATGGGCATGATGTGTCTGTCACCTCCACTGGACAAGCTGGGGAACAGCTTTAGGGGGGTCAACTTCTGCCAAGTAAGTTACTTTGCGTATAGTACTTCGTATCTTTGAATGAGAAAATAAAGCAATTTCGATCTCCTCCTAAGTGCAGGGAGGGAGTAAACAGTCTCCTTGCCTTACAATTCTAGAGGTTGGTGTCTCTCTTCAATTTCCACAACTACGATAACCTGAGGCACTGCGCTCGGAAATTAGACCCACGGCGCGAAGGGGGAGAAGTCCGGGTAAGGAAGACCCTGGGAGGGGGGGACTCGGGAGACTGTTTCGGAGAAGAACGTTAAGTAACACTGCAGTAAAACCCTAGGCTAAGCTAACCCCTAAGGCCAAGCCGTGAGGGAGGCTGACAGGGAAGAGCTGGGCGTGGGTGGGTTCAAAGTCACAGTCATCTCTGGCGGGTCTGATTTGTTTTCCAGAACAAGACTGTGGTCAACCTGTTATTTGCTGCCTCTAGTGGAGATGTCTCAGCTCTTCGAAGGTACTTCTACTCTGACCAAATAAACACAATAAAGTACTCCTAGTCAGAGATCTCATCAGCCGTCCACATAGCCAGATAGTTAAGTGCTTCAGCCTCACAGTCAGACTGAATGGTCAGAGACTGTATTTAAAGGAGGTTTTCTCTTTACAGTGACTGCCATGTGATAAGGACTTAATTAATGGTAGTCACTGTTGTGATTAATCTGGGTGATAAAAGCAGTCTGAGGAGGTCGGTAAGGACCTTGCCTCAAATGGACTACCAACGTCAATGGATCTGTCCTGGGCACCTTCTACAGGTAGGCAGTGATGTTCCCGGAACCATCACACGCCCACCTGACAGGAGCTGGCAGTCTCATCAGATAGACAACACAGACTGTGCAGAGTCCGCAGATCTCGTCCTAAGCTCTGTCTTGCTTTTTCTGGAACTCATCCAGTCTGACCCCACTTGAGAAAGGCTACCAGTGACTCCGGGCTGATCTGGGCAACACCAGCTACTTTCTACTCCCGTTTAGGTTTGCCTTGTCGGCCATGGATATGGAGCAGAAAGACTATGACTCCCGCACCGCCCTGCACGTTGCCGCCGCTGAAGGTATCTGAAGGTTAAAAATTAGAGGGGAAGCAGATCCCAAGACCTTTCTTTTGTACCAAGAGTACCCCGTATTGCGTGTGCCCTCGAGGTTACAGAGGCAACAACTGGTTCTGTGTGGGTGGCCTTCGGCGTGCAGGCTGGTACTGGGTGCTGCAGGGAGCAAAACTGGGAAGAAGCCTTTCCCCCTCCCCTTTCAGTTCAGACTCCAGCGGAGTGTCTGCACTTGTGCTAACACCACAGCACTAGGATCTGTACCCTCTCGTGTTCCTTCTGCCCATGTTCCTAGGACACATTGAAGTTGTTAAATTCCTGATTGAGGCCTGCAAAGTGAATCCTTTTGTCAAGGACAGGTGAGTGGGGTTAAGCTAAAGTTGGGGGGGGGTACAGAAAATGGGCGGCAACCTCCCCACCTCTGCGCTCCGGCCACCGGTCAGGCGTGGAACCAGGGCCGTCTCGGTTCCTCTCAGGTGGGGCAACACCCCCCTGGACGATGCGGTGCAGTTCAACCACCTGGAGGTGGCAAGACTGCTGCGAGACTACCAGGAGTCTTACACACCGTCTGAGACCCGGGCCGAGGCTGCCGCGGAGGCCCTGTCCAAAGAGAACTTAGAGAGCATGGTGTGAGCCTGGGGCACGCACAGTCCCTGCCCAAGAAGAAGCACGAGCTGGCCACACACTTAACATACAGCCACCAAACATGCCACGGAGGGCCGCGCGGCTTCAGTGGAGACCAGGGCTGAGGCCAGTGCTTTTTGTGAAAGAGTCGAAATACCCCATTCCCTTGGCAGAAAGTACAGAGAAGTGCCTTTGTGGACCCCTGCAGTAGAGCTACCTGCAAAGATTGTGGGCTTCCTCTAGTACAGGCTAATGGCTTAGCCCACTCCAGATCATCCCAGGTCTTCACGCAGGTCCCCTCTTCTCTCTGAAGAAGCCATTCTGAAAGAGTGTCCAGTGGAGGGGCTCTAGCCACCCTACACGTGTATATATACACAGAGGAAGAGGAAGCTATGTACCGGGCTTTAGTAGTCTGGAGACTTCCCCCTTGGCCAGAAGGGCTGCTGCTACTGCTAATAGCAATTTTATAGACAGAGGAAGTATTTTGTGCTCAAATAAACTTTAATCACACAAAATTATTTTTGCCAGACCCAGTCCTTCTCTTTCTCCCCTCGGGCCACCCAGCTGCATCACCATCATAAAGGTATTGTAGAGTAAGATGGAACAGGGTCAGACAGAGCCCAAAAAATACATATTTCACATACATACCCCACTAGGTTTTCCTCAATCCCAAATACTGCTTTAGATTAAGTGTATTCCGCTGCCAAGTGGGGGCAACTGCTTGGGTCTGAACAAACCCCCAAGTGAATTGTGTAAGACCTCAGGCCTCCTTCCTTGCTCTGGAAGTCCAAACTGTGGCTGAAATGAAGATGGACCGCCTGGAGAAAAAAGTTTCTAGCACTAATTCCCTCAACATCCCCCATGTGTCTCTTCCCCTTTGGGCATGATTGCAACTGGTCCAGTGATTGCAGCAGATGACCAGGTTATCAGAGGTGTGCGACTGAGGCAGACGGACTCAGGGTGAGGAGCCCTGCAGCTGTGTGGGGCTGGGTCTCAACACTGAGGCATTAGGGAAGGAGGGCTCTGTTCTCACCCTGACACAGTACTTCCCGAGGGAGCCAGAGCCCAAACTCTGTACGTGCTATACAGAAAGGGCCAAGTCACTCGGCACCACTCTCCAGCCAGAGGTAGAAAGGATTTACTCTGGAAAGACTTAGGTAGAGCCCCCAAAACAAACGAGTTACACGTGGGCAAAGGGAGGGAGAGGTAGCACAGTGACGAAATTCAAACAAAGTTGAAGGGTAAGACCCCCAGGACTGAATACAGTCTGAGAAAGCTGGGGACAGAGGGAGGCAGAGAGAGTGAAGGATGCAAGTCAGAGGAGGTACATTCAGAGTAGCCTAGGAAACTGGCAGTGGTTTGGGGAGGGGAGAGCGGGGCCATATGCCTAGCTTTCACAAAGTAGGAGAAAGGAAGATGACAAATATTGCACAGAGGACCCGTCACTGAATTTTGGGAGCCAGCGGTTTCTTCGGGCACCGTTAAAAGGTTTCAGACACTTGGAGCAGGAGGCAGGACAAGAGTGATTAGGGACTCCAGTCACAGACACACTAGAGCCCTTCAGGCACCTCAAGCCCTGAATGGGTCAGCAGCTCTCCATCCCAAAGGGCGAAGGCAGGCACCACTGGACCCCGGAAATCTGTCTGCAGTGTGTGGACCACAGCAATCCGGCTCACATCCACCAGGCTCAGCTTCTGGGCCTCATACTCCAGCAGCAGCCCCACCTTCTCTGGCTGCCCCACGCCCTCAACTGGGGCTTTCTCGTCGGCCAACATGGTGTGCCACCGGCGCTGAGCATAGGTGAACACCCAGGAACGGTCGTCAGCACCGATGCAGCTATCGCGGGACATGTCCACATCTGCCGCTCCTATCCGGAACTGCTGGGAGCGCTTCACTGTCACCTCCCAGTAATGCCTGCCACTGGTGACAGCTGTGTCTGCCAGCACAACTGCCCACTCCCGGAAGCGTTCCACGTTAAGGGCTAATTTTGTGGGCTCCAATCCCACCATGCCGTATTTGACACCTGTGTCACCTTTGAAGAGTAACAGGCTGCTGTGGGCTGTCTTTTCTTCCAATCTGAAACTGATGCCTGCGGGCAGAGCAAAAACACCGGATGGTGACGTGAACTAGAACTCTAGAACGTATACAAGCCGATGTCAAACAGGCAGGCAAACCACGAGGAAACACGGAAGAGTCAGAATGTCGAGCGGACAAGAGAGCGGGGGCGCTTTAGTACGGGCAGCCCGAGGAGCCGAAAAACTCGGACTGGAGAAGCCGTGTAATTTAAAGAAACCAGAGAGTGTCCCGCGTTTGGAGCGCAGGTGGAGGACGGGAAGGAGTGAAGGGGCTGGGGCTGCTTCTCCCGCGGGCTCCAGGAATATCAGACGGAAACTGTTTCGGACGTAAAAGAGAGTAAAAGGATAGAATCCTACCTCTGCGGGCTTCCGCGGCGGCAACCCCCAATCGTTTGGCTCCCCTGCGGCACAGGCACAACGAACGTGCAACGGGGAGCGCCATCTTGCGCCGCGGATGAACAGGGCACGCCCCCAGCTGAGACCCCCGCTCCACCCGCCTGCCTGCGCCTCTCGCACGTGGCGCTCGAGAGCGCGCCGCGCAGTGTGATGACGTAGGTGAGCCGCCATCTTAGTGAGTTCTGTTTCTGTTCCCTCGGGGGTTGGTGAATCGGGTGTTTTGCCGAGAGGAATGCTGTTCTTATTTTAAATAAATAGGACGTTTAGGAAGTGTAGCAAGATGGTTATAAGGCAAGATTAAAGGGACTGGAGAAGCTCATCAAGATTAGGAGACTGGTTGCTAAGACCAGCACACACCCTATTACTGTCAACAACCCCACTCTTGAAACTTTGCAAAGACAGAAGCTTGTGCAACTTACTGACTTGATTCTTATCACATACACTTGCCTAACTATATAACCTCTTCCTACACACTGGAGGGGTACGGGGAGAGGGGAGTGGGACAGTTCTTGAGGCATTAGCCTACTGCAGTCCCCCTTTGCCTGGCAAAGAAATAAAACCACTCTTCTCCATAACTCCAGCTCCCTATTTTTGTTTGGCATTAGCACACAGCCAAGATTCTGGCATCACCATCTTCCTCCTATTCCCCTGAAAAAGGGATTTCAGGTCTTTCAGCGTCTAATTTACCAAAAATTATTCTCTTATTCCAGAGTTCCAACTACCGGGCCTGTGGCGATGTCCCTAGTTAAGGCCACTGTCATCCTTGATCTGAACGGGGACTTTGTATTTTAAATGTAATGCGGTCGCCTCTAAGTTGGTCTCCCAACTGTCTTTCAGTGCCCACACTACAGTCAGAGTGATTTTGTTAAAGTTCTGTTCACTTGTTTTTAGCTGTTCTGGGTTTTCACTGCTGTATGGGCTTTTCTTTGGTTGCTGTGAGCAGGGGCTGCTCTGTGGTCCCCGTGCCCGGGTTCCTCACTGCGGCAGCTTCTCTCGTGGAGCACGGGGTTTCAGTTATTGCGGCTCAAGCCTCTAGAGCACAAGGTCAGTAGCTGTGGTGCTCAGGCTTAGCTGCTCCGTGACATGTGGCCCTTCCCGGGTCAGGGACCAAACCCGCGTCTCCTGCACTGGCAGGTGGATTGTTTATAACTGAACCAGCAGGGAAGCCTCAGGATGACATTTTAAAATGACAAGTCTGTTCATGCCATGCTACTTTTATCTTTTTTGTTTGTTTTTCTCTACTTAAATGTTTGACTATGCCTGCATCAAATTCCCTTGCACTGTGACAAGGTTTTACATGATATGACTGCTGCCTACCATCTTTTTCCCACAAAGCACAGTTCTTCTTTCAAAAGTCTGTGAATCTAGTGGGAAGGTTGATGAGAATATTGGTAGCTGCATTGTAATGGACTATGTGCTGTGACTGAAGTGGTTATAGGATGCTCAGGAAGCAAGGAGAAGCCTCTGGTTGAGTATTACATGAGGGACTGTTGGCAAGAGCCTTCCCAGAAGCCATATCTATGGCTTGCAAAGCAAAGGTGGTTAAGCTAATTTTGCTTTCCTAAACAAGCTTTCTCTTCCTCTATCCCTTGAGTTGGTGAGCTGCAACCCACAATGGTGCCCAGGCCAGAAACCTGGAAGTCCTCGACTTCTTTGTCTCCCTCACTTCATAGTTCAGTTCAGTCCAGTCGCTTAGTCGTCTCTGACTCTTTGCGACCCCATGGACTGCAGCACGCCAGGTTTCTCTGTCCATCACCAACTCCCGGAGCTTGCTCAAACTCATGGCCATTGAGTTGGTGATGACATCCAACCATCTCATCCTCTGTCATCCCCTTCTCCTCCTGCTTTGAATCTTTCCCAGCATCAGCGTCTTTTCCAGTGAATCCGTTCTTCACATCAGGTGGCCAGAGTATTGGAGTTTCAGCTTCAACATCAGTCTTTCAAATGAATATTCAGGACTGATTTCCTTTAGGATGGACCGGTTGGATCTCCTTGCAGTCCAAGGGACTCTCAAGAGTCTTCTCCAACACCACAGTTCAAAAGCATCAATTCTTCAGCGCTCAGCTTGCTTTGCAGCCCAATTCTTACATCCATACATGACTATGACCACTGGAAAAACCATAGCCTTGACTAGATGGATCTTTGTTGGCAAAGTAATGTCTCTGCTTTTTAATATGCTGTCTAGGTTGGTTGTAGCTTTTCTTCCAAGGAGCAAGCGTCTTTTAATTTCATGACTGCAGTCACCATCTGCAGTGACTTTGGAGCCCAAGAAAATAAAGTCTGTCTCTGTTTCCGTTGTTTCCCCATCTATTTGCCATGAAGTGATGGGACCTGATGCCATGATCTTAGTTTTATGAATGTTGAGTTTCAAGCCAGCTTTTTCACTGTCATCAAGAGGCTCTTTAGTTCTTCTTCGCTTTCTGCCATAAAGGTGGTGTCATCTGCATATCTGAGATTGTTGATATTTCTCCCAGAAATCTTGGTTCCAGCTTCTCACATAACCGATTGTTACTAAATCCCTGGTCGGCTGCATTGGCTTTGCGCCTGGTCTTCCATTCTCCTCAGTGAGGCTGCGGGAGCATTTACAGAGACTAGCCCACCCCTTAGGCTGTGACTCCACAGGGGCTGTAAGTCCCGTGTTCTCTGTGCTCCTGGGCCTCGGTATCTCCGCAGTACAGAGTAAGTGTTCGCTTTTTGATAAAGGCGTACATGAGGGAGTTTTGCGCCGACGTCCTTGCGTGCACTAGCTCATCCTTCCACCAGGGGTCAGCCTTTCCACCCCATTAGGGTGTGAGAAGAGAGGTCTCCCTTCTTTTCAGGACCAGAAGCACAGGCGTGGAGGTGCCTTTTCCTTCAGCAGAGTCATCCGCTCCCAGGTGGCGCTAGTGGTAAAGAACTCACCTGCCAATGCAGGAAACAGGGGATGCGGGTTTGACCCCTCGGTCAGGAAGATCCCTTGGAAGAGGGCGTCGCAACCTGCTCCAGTATTCTTACCTGAAGAATCCCATCAAGCTAGGAGCCTGCCCGGCTACCATCTATAGACTCACCGAGAATCGGACAGGACTGAATCGACTTGACACAGCGCTCAGTAATGAGGAGAGTTGCAGGGTTGTGTTTCTGTAGGACTTCTGTTCCTCCTGGTCCTGAGAGCTGAAGTGATCACTCCATGTGCCCCAACTGTCAGACCACAACTGTATCCCTTTATTCCCTGCTCAGGGAATAGTTTCTTACCTGTTATCTCTTGGATTATTTCACTTTTACAGACTATGTATCTGATAAACTCAACTTCATTCTGTTAATCTATCTGTATCTGATAAACTCAACTTCATTCTGTTAATCTATCTGCCTCATTGCTAATGAACAAGTAATTAACTCTTGAACATTTCCATGCATAATAAATAATTAGGAAGAGATAGAATTTTACTTGAGAAAGAAGGAAAAGACCTTTAAGCTAGAGGGACCAGCTCAGGATAAAGCAGTGGCTTATGCAAGAGCGGGTGTTAGACGAACAACAAGAAGCACGGTACTCCCAGAGTCACATGCTAGGGAGATAAGGAGAGGAGTTAGAAAAGTTGATGCCGAATGATGAGGAGCCATGTGTGCCCTGATAAGAATGTTTTTCAGGCATGCAAGAGCTGTTCAAGGGAACACAGTGTAATAACAAATTACAGGTCCTTTTTCAAACAGAGAGCTGACAGCAACATAGAAAGTGAATTGGAGGGGATAAGACTAGAAACAGTTAAGCAGAGTCCAGAGCCTCTGAGAGTCTTTGGTGTGGGCTCAGCTGTCCAGAAAGTAGAACTGATGGACCTGTGGTTATTGTTAGATGGGATTGAGAGGCAGGGGAAGGAAACTTGATTCATAGGTTTCTGACTTAATGAGAGGATACAGCCAGGGAAGGGGGGCGAGGAAACCCAAGAGATAGGGGATGTATGTATACATATAGCTGATTCACTTCATTGTATAGCAGAAACTAGCACAACATTATAAAGCAACTATACTCTAATAAAAAAAATTTTAATGAGGGGATACACAGGGAAAAACATGCTTGGATGGGGAAAGATAATTCAGTTTTGAACAGGCTGAATTTGTGGTCTGTGACCACAAGACACCCAAGTAGGTAAAGACATTCTGTAGGTATATGGATATAAATTTCAAGAGAGGGGATGACTTAGATGAAGTCATCCAAGGAGAGGATGTAAACTAAAGTAAGTAGGGAAGAAGCTGAAGGTGCGATCCTAGGGAGTACCAGTATCTGAGATACAAAAGTGCTTAGAACGGGACCTGACCCATAGCAAGCATTGGTCTGCCTGGCTTGGGTTGTATCTGACTCCACAGGAAAGAAAGTAGAGAAGGAGGCAAGGACAGGGTCAGTTCAGTTCAGTCGCTCAGTCATTTCCAACTCTGTGACCCCATGCGACCCCAGTACGCCAGGATTCCCTGTCCATCCCAACTCCCCGAGCTTGCTCAAATTCATGTCCTTTGAGTCGGTGATGCCATCCAACCCTCTCATCCTCTGTCATCCCCATGTCTTCCCGCCTTCAATCTTTCCCAGCATCAGGGTCTTTTCCAATGAGTCAGTTCTTCAAATCAGGAGGCCAAAGTATTGGACTTTCAGCTTCAGCATCAGTCCTTCCAAGGACAGGGTAGACTAGGCCATTTACTCTATTTCTTGGATTACCCCGTTTCTAACACACAAGGGCCCTGACCTGATCCAAGTGCTAATTGGAGCCCTTAAATATGAGTGGGAGAGGGATGATGCCCTCAGAGCTTGGTGATTGTTCTGGACTTTGCCAGGAGTCAGCAGTCAGCAAAGCATTACCAGAGAAAGAGAGAGAAGGGGGGCCCTCAGGAGCTAGCCAAAGGGTAGGCTAGCTTGTGCTGTGCTGGGGCCTTTGTCCCACTGAAACTGTCCACACAGTGGAGCCGGGTCAATGCTGACCTGGCATTCTAAGTACAGGACTGGGATGCAGAGTCCACGTGGTGGGAGCAGAGACGGATGGGCACCCAGCCCCTCAGCACCGCATCACTATTTACCCACACTGTAATTGCTAGAGAGGATGGTTCATACTTGATAACCATGAAATTGTGTTTATATCTGATTAATTCATGAATCAGTTCATTTATACTTCAAGGCAGTCAACTTAACATGGATGTATTGCTCAGGTGTATATCATCCTATCCTCATACAATCCTGTATGATCAACAAAGTGGATTTTTTGGGTTTCTTTTTTTTAAATTTCTTTCTAATTGAAGGATAAATGCTTTACAATATCGCGCTGGTTTCTGCCATGCATTAACGTGCATCAGCCATAGGTATACATACGTACCCTCCTTCTTGAATCTCCCTCCCACCTCCCACCTCATCCCACCCCTCTCTGCCCTTACAGAACACTGACTTGAGCTCCCTGAGTCATACATCAAAATTCCCACCGTCTATCCGTTTTACATATGGTAGTGTGTATATTCCCATGCTACTCCCTCCAGGAGACAGTGGGGGACAGGGAGGCCAGGCATGCTGCAGTCCACGGGGTCGCGAGAGTCAGATACGACTGAGCAACCGAACAACTCTCTCCATTTGTCAGCAAAGTAGGTTTTTTATGGAACTCAAGCTTGGGTTGTTCTTTGGGTCCAGGGGATACAGGGTGGCTAGGGAGTAGCTTCAGAAAGGTAGGGAGTCGGTCCTCGGCAACCTCAGAGGTAGCTGTAGTCATCACACAGGACCCCTGTACAGAAATGAAGCAAGGCAGATTGCTCGGCCAGAAGCTTCCCTCACCTCTACAGACTCACTTGCTCCTTGGTCGTGTGGATTATGCTCCCACGGCACCTCCATGGGACAGAAATGGGGTCTTCTGACATGGGGAGTGAACATAGGCTCAGAGCCCCAGGAACAGAAATAAGTTGAAAGGCTGATGGTTAGTAACCAAAAATAACTGAATCCAAGTGTAGAGATAGAGGAGACTCTAGAATGGATTCCTATTACAAGTAAGTAATATTACAAGTAAGACTTGAAATAACTTTGCAGCTACCCCAGGTTTGTTATCTTACAAATTCCTTTTCTCCATTTCCATAGTTCCTAGTGGGAAAAACGTCAAAAATGTTTGCAAGACGCTTCCCTGGTGACTCAGTGGTAAAGCATCCGCCGGCCAACGCAGGAGACAGCCTTGCCTGGCCCGGGAAGACCCCCGTGCCGCCCCGGAGCCGCGCATGCGCCACAGATACTGCGCCTGCGCCCTGGAGTCCGAGGGCGGCCGCAGCTGAGCACACGCGCCGCACCCGCTGGTCCCGCGCGCCCAGGGCCCGCGCCGCAGCAGGAGGGGCCGCCGCAAGATCCCCGCACGGCAACGAAGACCCAGTCAGAAGTGATTGTTTTAAAAAATGTCTGTAGCTTTATTAAAGCCAGAAGAGAGAAATGTGGAGAATCCAGGAGTAAGCTTTGTTGCCAACCCCCGAAAAGAACTCCCAACACAAGAATGGCGTAGTGGGGAATTCCCTGGCGATCCAGTGGTTGGACTCCACGCGTCCAATAACGGGGGGCACGGGTTCAGTCCCTGGTTGGGGAGCTAAGATCCCACATGCTGAGCTGGACATGGCCAAAAATATTGTTTAAACAGAATGAAGTAGAATGATAGCAAAAAAGTGAACAAACTAGCCAGAAAAGAAAATCCAGTTGAACACTATGTGTCCTGGGTGGTCCCAGCAGTGTTGGCCTAGGAATCCCCTGCAGTCCCATGCAACTCCTCAAAGATGCTTTCCTTTGCCGATTCCAGTGACCCAAGTGCTGGCTCACCATTGGGACCTGCTCACTCACTGCCTGACTGTTTATGGTGAGGGATGGACTGTCTTTACCTTGCCTTTCCTAGAATTCTTCTCATTGTCTTCCAGATCTGCACACTAGCGTTCCTCTTTGGCTCTCTGACTCCTGAAACCCAGGTTCATAGCGATGAATAGCAGTGAAACAAGGAGTCCCTCCCTTCACTGTGAGCACCTCTGGTTGACTGAAGCCAACCAGAAGGCTCAGAGAGCTTATGCTGATTTATTCAGTGAATGTTTATTTACCGCATAGTGCGTGTCAAGCGCAGGGTTTACAGAGATGAACAAGTTGGCAAGGCCCTGCCCTCCTGGAGCTTCTATCTAGTGGAGGTAACGTCCCCACCCAGAAAGTGGCAAAGGCAAGGCTTTCGTTGCTCCTGCTGTTATTTATGGATCTCAAGTGCACAAAATAATCATTTGTTCATGACATCCCCTTCTCCCGATTCCTGTACTTCTCACGGGAACAGCTTGTGGCCTCTATGACGAGCCACCGTGTGGAGATGGTGAAGCCTGACAGTGTGTTCCATTCTGCCTTCTCCACCACCACACAGCGCCCATCACTAGATTCCCAACTTCCTCACTAAGCCTGACCACAACTGAATTTCTTTCTCCAAGCTTTTCTTCACCATCTTGTTCTTTTCTCTCTCCTTGGCCACCCTGATGCCCCAGATACCCACATCCCCAGACCTTTATCTACGGGTCAGGGTTTAAGACTAATGTCCTGATCATAGCCAGTTTAGGGGGCATTAGACCCTCCTGCTGCTTCATAGCCAAGACTCAATTTCCTTCCTTCAGTACTTCCTGCTCGGACCTTATGAATTAGGAAAGATGAAGTACAAGCTGATTCTGAGATTTAATTAATAACCTCCCATCCCTGGTGGCTCAGATGGTAAAGAATTAGCCTGCAATGTGGGAGACCTGGGTTTGGTCCTTCGGTAGGAAAGATCCCCTGGAGAAGGGAATGGCAACCCATTCCAGTGATCTGGCCTGGAAAATTCCATGGACAGAGGAGCCTGGCCGAGTACAGTCCACGGGGTTGCAAAGAGTCGGACATGACTCTTTGTAAAAGAGTGACCAACACTTTCACACTTTGATTTCCTCTCCCAGCTCCCCAACACCTCTCCCAACCTACCCATGGAGGATAGCTGTTTCTTGCCATCCCTGTTGTTTAAAAGGCCAGGCTGGGACTTTCCTGGTGGCCCAGTGGTTAGGACTCCATGCTGCCACTGTAGGGGGCATGGGTTCGATCCCTGGTCTGGGAACTAAAACCCCACAAGCCATGTGATATAGCAAATAAATAAATAATAAAAGTAAAAGGCCAGGCTGGGACTTTCCTGGTGGCCCAGTGGTTAGGACTCTGTGCTGCCACTGTAGGGGGCATGGGTTCGATCCCTGGTCTGGGAACTAAAACCCCACAAGCCATGTGATATAGCAAATAAATAAATAATAAAAGTAAAAGGCCAGGCTGAGGGCTTGGAAAGGGAGGTGTTGGCATGGGTCAGGAGTAGGGAGCCCGGGCTCAGAGAAAGCCAGACGCAGCAGAACTATTCTGTCCCAGGGCTGCAGGATCCACAGATTCCAGCCCAAACCAGCCAATGGGAGAAGGCCCCCTAATCCCAGAGAACTAAAGAATTCTCGTCAGTTATCTAGCTCCCCTGCCAGACTCCACTCCTGACCCCCACCCCCACCCTTACCCCTGGCCAGTTCAGAGGAGCCTAGAGGCCCCCAGGAGCATAGCCTCATGCTCTGTGACATGAACTCAGCTTCACTAACCTTCCCAGCAGAGCTGAGGAACGTTCTAATATAGATGTCAGTCAGGACTATGAACCCCAGCTTTGACATGAAGAGAAAGGCAGACTCCTCCAGTCCCCCCATTCTCGGTCCTTTCTTCTCGGAGCCTCACACCAGCCCTGACCCCATCCCCACCCTCACGTCCGTGGCTCTGCTCATCTCGCAACTGAGGAGGGAGGGGGAAATGCTGCAGCTTTATCCGATGCACCAGAGCAGGCCGGCCCGCCACAGCCATGAAGGGGTTAAGAGGCTGGGCCGGTCACCTCAGCCTGCCCCTCCCAGGGATTAGAAGTCCTCTATAAAGGGGACTGTCCATGCAGATCGGGCCAGGGGGGTGTCAGGGACCCAGGCGCCGTGCCCATCCCCCCTGCCATGTGGGAGCTGCGGTCAGCCTCCTTCTGGAGGGCCATATTTGCTGAGTTCTTTGCCACCCTCTTCTATGTCTTCTTTGGGCTGGGGGCCTCGCTGCGTTGGGCCCCGGGACCCCTGCACGTCCTGCAGGTGGCTCTGGCCTTCGGCCTGGCCCTGGCGACCCTGGTGCAGGCGGTGGGCCACATCAGTGGCGCCCACGTCAACCCCGCGGTCACTTTCGCCTTCCTGGTGGGCTCCCAGATGTCCCTGCTCCGCGCCATCTGCTACATGGTGGCCCAGCTCCTGGGGGCCGTGGCCGGGGCCGCGGTGCTTTACAGCGTCACCCCGTCGGCCGTCCGAGGAAACCTAGCGCTTACCACGGTAATGGCGGGCTGAGCGGGGCGGGGGACTTGGTGCCTTGACTTCCTCTTGGGCAGGTAAATCAGTTCCTCAGCGGTCTGGGACATTGTGTGTGTGTGTATGTGTGGTGTGTGTGGATGTTTAGGGTGGGGAGGATCAACACGTACTGTGGGGGGTGTGGAAGCCATCAAGCCCTGGACCTGAGTTCGGGTCCCCGCTTTTCTTCCAGCTCCTAGCAGGTTCTTGAGGAAACTTATTTTACTTTATGGGGCCTCAGTTTCTCCTCCATGTAAATGGGTACATTTATTTCTACTATGCAGGAATATTAGTAGGAGAAATTAAGGAGCAAATACAATTACCGTGAAGGAGGTACTAATAGCATCCCTCTCCAGGGAACGGATGCCACAAAGGGGTTCCTGCCTGGGAAGCCGTGAGGAGGTAAGGCTGTGGCGGTCCTGAGACCCCGCCTTTCTTCTTCTTCCTCTGCCCAGCTGCACCCTGGGGTGAGCGTGGGCCAGGCCACCATAGTGGAGATCTTCCTGACGCTCCAGTTCGTGCTCTGCATCTTTGCCACGTACGACGAGAGGCGGAATGGCCGCCTGGGCTCCGTGGCCCTGGCTGTGGGCTTCTCCCTCACCCTGGGGCACCTCTTTGGGGTAAGCAGGAGAAGGGATTGCAACTTCTTGTTTTAAAATTGCAGGGCCCCCAAACCTTTGCCAACTTCTGAGCATTCTTCCCGCTCACTTCACTGTCCAACATGAACGTGATCCCCCTCCGTCTGTATCAGCACAGAGGAATGGATCCTGCTGTGTTCCCCTCTCTAGCGACAGCTGTAGCTAGTCCTTCCTGACCCCGCTGTAGAAAGGCGTGCCTCCCGGGAAGGCACGGGCTTTGCCAGGGAACCCACAGCCTGTCCTCCGACGGGCGTTAGTGAGCCCACTGTGGGACTTCCATGCACGTTGTCATCCCTCCTCGCTGCTGGCTACAGGCAAGGTGCCAGTCCTGGAGGGCAGTGGGTGGGGGAGAGCTGGGCTGGAGTGGGGGGAAAGTGTCTCAGTGGCCACTTTGTCTTCGCAGATGTACTATACTGGTGCAGGCATGAACCCTGCCCGCTCCTTTGCTCCTGCCATTCTTACCAGAAACTTCACCAACCACTGGGTGAGTGACAGGAAGAGGGCCAGATCCTGAAGCCCTCCTGGAAGGGTGTGGCCTGCAGGTTCTAGGTTTGGTTCCCGCTTCCTATCTGGGTGTGCTGACTATTCTACCAGCCCTCAGCTAAGGGGGCTGGCACAGAGGTTGCCTGCCTGTGTGAGCAGGGTTCATTGTTTTGCTAGAAAGATGAACTCTTGCTCATGTTGTTCCTTCACTAGTTAGTCAGGGCTTCTTTTTCTTTTACTAAATATTCGCTGGATTCCAAAGCTAGGAGCTATGAGGACAGACTACTGAAGAGGAAGACAAAAGCTTCTACCCTCAAGAGGCTGGGATATGTATAAGCACAAATGGGCCTTGGCCTCGTCCCTGTTGTAACACGTCACTAGCCTCGTGTGTGACCATGACAGATAACTCAATCCTTCTGCACCTTGGTTTCCTTAACTACAAAACGGATGTTATGAGAAATAAATGTGAAAATCATATGTATGGAATATTTAGCACAGAATATGATACAGAGTAAGTCCTCAATAAAAAATGGCTATTCTTGTATTGTCTGGCCCTATGCCAGTCAAGCGTATGTAAATAATTCAGAAAATTTTTCAAAGCTGTACACTCATTTTCATGGTAGCATTATTCACAATAGCCAAAAGGTGGAAGCAATCCAAGTGCCCCACACAGATGAAAAGAAAAACAAAATGTAGTATATACATACAATGAAGCAGTATTCAGTCTTAAAAAAGAAGGAAATTCTATACATGGTAAATAAAACATGGAGGAACCTTCAGGACATTATGCTCAGTGAAATAAGCCAATCAGAAAAGGACTCATATCATATAATTCTACCTATATGAGGTATTTAGAATGGTCACATTCATTGAAACAAGCAAAATGGTAGGTAACAGGGGCTAGGGAGTGGGGGATATGGGAAGTTGTTTAATAGGTGTTGTGTTTCAGTTTTGTAAGATAAAAAATTTCTGGAGATGGCCTATACAACAACATGAATATACTGAACACTACTGAACTCTACAATTAGAAATGGTTAAGATGGTAAATTTTATGTTATGTGTAATTGACCACAATTTAAAAGAAATTTTCAAAGCAATATGGAGGGACTTCCCTAGTGGCTCACTGGCTAAGACTCTGAACTCCCAATGCAGGGGGCCCAGGTTTGACCCGTCAGGGAACTAGATCCTCCACACTGCAACAAAGACCTTGGGCAGCCAAATAAATAAATATTAAAAGACAAAACAAAAAGCAATATGGAAACTAGTACAAATTGATAGCAAAAAAATAGAATATACACGTGTTAAGAAGGTATAGGATAAAGGAATAACTTAATAAGTCAGAAAAGAAATGAATTCTGAAGTGCAGGCCATGGAGCAGTCTAGGAGTTAGGGTTAGAACACCGACTTCTGCTTAAACAGCGCCCAAGTGTATGTGCCAAGTGCAGAATGTCTGTCTTACAACAGTGGGATTGCAAAAAGAGCAACCTTGCTCTTCGTCCCCTGCCCAAACCTGATTCTTTCTTTCCTCTTCCTCCAGGTGTACTGGGTGGGCCCCGTCATTGGAGCAGGCCTGGGCAGTCTCCTTTATGACTTTCTCCTCTTCCCCCGGCTCAAGAGTGTTTCTGAGAGACTGTCTATTCTCAAGGGTACCAGGCCCAGCGAGTCCAATGGACAACCAGAGGTCACAGGGGAACCTGTTGAACTGAAGACCCAGGCCCTGTAAAAGCTCCAGCTGGATAGAGTGAGCAGGAAGCTTCTGGGTTTACATGGAGGGGCTGAGCCAGCCCCCGGATGAAGAAAGAGACTGTGGGGAGGGGCATGTACTTCTTTATTTTTAAATTTATGTGTGTGTTTTTTTGCCTTTTGCCGTGTGAAATCTTTCAAGTTGCATTCATGAGATGTTTGGTGCACACTTCCCTTCCTCCCCAGCCCCCTCTCTTCGCCGCTGCGTGTGCATGATTGTGCGTATGACTGTGAGTGAATGTGCCTGTGTCTTGAGTTTGGGGGCTTGGCATGAGAGGTAGAGAACGGAAAAGGGCTGTCACCCTCTGTCTTCCTCTCCCAACCCACCGCGGTGAGCACAGGGAATGAAGACCTTCAGCTTCTGGCCTGTACCCCGCTGCCAGTCAAGTGTTCAGCTCCAGGTTTCTGAGGGAGCAGGGAAGCATTCTGTTACTCCTCAGAGGAGGCAGATGGAGGGAAGTGGAGGTGACAAGGCATTCCAAGAGCTGGGAGAAGCAGCTGGGCCTGGTGTAGGTATCAGCCCCAGATTAGGAGGCGGTTGTACCAAGAATTTTGAAGAAGTTAACAGGAGAGTGTAGCCTACTTATCTCAGGGATGCTTGCCCCACGGACTTGGGTGGCAAAATAGCTCTGAGAAAAGTAAATACTGGGGTTGGGACTGTTCTGTAATTCCACATCACCCTCTCTACATCCACTGGCTGGGTTTGAGGTTATTCTGGCATGATGGATCTCTTTGGAGGCCCTGGGTGACTGAGCTCCCAACCCAAGCAATGGATGAGCCTAGAACCTAGAAAAATTAAGCAGCTTAACTGTTTTGCCTGACAAACCCCAGTGTGACCTCCAAACAGAAGGTGTTTAAGCCCAGAAGTGCTCCCTAAGGCCAAAACAGGAAATCTGATGCCTAGAGCAAATGCAGAGGTAGGGGTGGGGGCATAGAAGAAAGAGGATTTGACACTCAGAATTTTAATTTAGAGCAGCCCAAAATAATCTTCAAATGGCATCTTTCTGCCTTTATCACTAGTTCTATAGTCTTTATTTTCCATTTTTTTGTGTCTTTTCACTTTCTGCTCATCTGTCTTTTCATCTTCATCAAATTTCTTCTAACGCCTCATGTCCCAGAAATTGATTCCTTCTATTGAAATCTTAATAATTAACGAGATATTATTTGTTTGATCCCTATCTTCCTTCGTTGTTGGGAAAATACACTCATCTCAAGAGGAGCCAGAGGAACCCCTGGCTTGACGATAAATACTTACGTTGACCTTTTCCTTTTAGGATCCAACTGCACACCTCGCAAGCTTTAAACCTATACCTATAGTAAGACAGGCACCCTGGCCCCACATGAGACCACTATTGCGCATAGCTGCACGCTCCATTTCCTCACCAATAAAGCCAAACTTTTCTAACTAACCTTGTTAAGACTTTGGAATAATCCACTTGACTAGGAGAAGGGGAAGAATGTAAATTCACCTCTATTGTAAATTCACCTCTATTCGGACTTAGATCCCAATGATGATAAGTCAGCAGGAAATGCATCGCGCCAAGAGCTCGGGCTCAACCTAAGGGATCGACTCAGATAAAACAATACTGGTACTCGCTTCCTTTGTCTTTCGCTTCATCACCAGCTGCCCCGGCCGCTGAGGGCCACGTGGGCCGGCCCGGCTCGCCCCGCCCCGCTCCCCACGTGGGCAGGGTCTGGCCCGACCCACACGGGTGGCGGGAGAGGCCGCGGAGCTGTGCTGTCGGGCTGCCGGCTCCGCGGGGATCTTGAGGAGCGGCGGGGAGCGGGTGAGTGCTTGTGTGGGCAAGAAGGCTCCAGCTGGATTGCGTCCCTTCGTGGCCACGGGGGCTCCCCGGGGGAGCGCGGAGCCCGCTTTCCCGCCGCCGGGTTAAAGGCGGGGGCGGGCCGCGCGCTTCGGGTGCGCACGCGCAGTTCCCAGTCGGGGCTCCGTGGGCGTCCGGGCGCTTCCAGCTCGCCTGGGACGAGGCCAGGTTCTCCCGAGGTCCCTCCGCACAGCCTGGGGCGCCCGCGGGGGTGCGGCTGTGCCGGAAACGGGCTTGGAACCTCTACTGTAAGACAGAACCTCCCAGGAATTCCCGCTTCTGAACTTCCCGTCCAATTCAGACCCGAAAAAAACAGTGCAGTTTGGTGGTCAGCAGGCGCCGGGATCCAGTGGTCACTTGACTTACATCTTGAGTTTTTATAACATGGGTTTCTCCTTCCCTTCTGACCTTTCCCTTGGTAGAAGACTTACGGAGGTTGCTGTCTCTGCTTGGCTTTGTTAGCTGGACCATCAGCCGTTAATTAAGCTCCTTCCCTCGAGTCTCTCAGTTCTTGGCCCTTCCTGCTGCCACTCATAATTACCTTTATAAAAAGTGAATCTGGTCATTTCAGATTACATTTAAAACTCCTCTTTGGCTGCCCACGGTCAAGTTTAGATCCTTAGGTGGGTGTCCGGGCCTTTGGCAGTCTGACTCTGACTCAGCTTGTTTTCTGAAGGTTCTGGTCATTTTTTTTTTCCATCTCGTGCAGTTGGATCCCAGCCCTGTGGAAAAGGTGTTTGTATGGCGTCTGTCATGCTTTGAGACTTGTGCTCCAGCTGTTCCCTGAACTTGAAGTCCTTACCACTTCTCTGCCAGATGAGCTTCTCTTTCAGGAACGAACTCAACTGTCCCTTTGAAAACCTCTCTTTTCAGCCCTCCTAGGCCAAAGTAGTCACTTTTTCCTTTGTGTCCGGAGTATTTTACCTCCTTCTATATATGACGGGCTTCCCCGGTTACTCAGGGGTAAAGAATCCGTCTGCCAGTGCAGGAGACACGGGTTCCATCCCTGGGTCCGGAAGATCCCCTGGAGAAGGAAGTGGCAACCCACTGCAGTGTTCTTGCCTGGGAAGTCCAGTGGACAGAGGAGCCTAGCGGGCTGCAGTCCATAGGGTCCAAAAGAGTCAGACACAGCTTCAGAACTAAACAGCTTCTGAGGCACTCATGCAGTTGAGCAAGCGTTACTCAGCTCCTGCTGTGCACGGTGTCCGTACCGGAGGACGGGGGCGAACAGAACAGAGCTCCTGCGCTCGAGGGGCTGGAAGGAACAACAGCCGTGGGCCTTCTGCAGCTACAGGGCGCCAGAGAATCCACCCTGGCTTCCTTCCTCGCTCGCTTGGAATTGTCTTGGGTAAACTTCTCTCCTTTCACAGCTTGACAGACCACCCAACTAGCCGATGCCTCCAAATCTCCAGCCCCAACCTCTCCTCCCTCAGCTTCAAAACTTGTCTACTTCAGCTTAGAAAGAATGTATTGACACTTATGTTGTGCTGGTCACAAAGATTTCTAGTCTCAAAAGAGTTTATATTTTAGTGCAGGCAACAGGAGCTTGAGTTAGAGTCACCCAAAGAGTGTTTTCAGAACACTCTTGTCCAAGCCCCCGTCCCGGGAGATTCTGACTCACTCACTAGACGCTGAAATTCAAAGGTGAATATGAAACAGTTCCTGCCTTCAGGGAATCTAAGGCTGATTCAGGGAGATAGATGTTTTAAACAGTCTGTTTAAGTAGTATGTACAACATGAACTACAGATGCCATGATGAAAGTCTGTTTATGGCACAAAATAAACACAAAAGAGAGATGCTTTCTGTGTGGAGGAGCCAGGAGGATGTGCCAGGTGGGCAGACTTCTGAAAGGCGAGTGGGTAGGCTCTAGGTGGGTGAGAGAAGGGTGTTCCTGACAGAGGAGTGCCCTGGGAGAGACGCTTAGAAGGTTAACTAGCAGAAAGATCAGGGAGGACTTTGTATTGCAGGCATTAGTGCATGCTGAAGGTAAACGAGTCAAATAGTACTGAAGAGAAAGATAACTATTTCTCCTGACCTAGGTCCCCCAGTTCTCCCCAGAGACAATTACTATGAGTTTCTTATGTAGTCGTTGAAAGGTTTTAAGCAGTGTGGTTAAATGGCCAGCCCTGGTAACCGTATTATGGATAGATTTAAGAGAACTGGACACAGGGAAAGAGGCTAGGTAGCAGTTGAGTAATCTAAGCAAGAGATATTCAGGACCTGAAGCGAGGCAGTAGCAATGGGGACAGACAAGGGCCAGATAGAAGAGCGTAAGGAAGTAAAGTTAGTTTGAGTGACTGACTCAAGGTATTTAGAATGACTTCTAGGTTTCTTATGTGAATAGCTGAGGAGATTGTGTCAATTCCTGAGAAATCCAACAGAAAAGTAAAGACAACCAAAGGAAAAGATGTAGCATTTGGACATATTAAGTGTGAGGATTTGAGAAGATGGAGATGGCTATTCATGTGTGGGACTGGCACCAGCGAGCTCAAAGTGGCAGGAGATCCCGGATGTGCTGGCTGATGGCCCAGAAATGGTAGTTGAAGATGTGGGAGTGGATTAGTTTGCCCAAGGAGCTGTGTAGAGAGAGAGGAAGAGGACTAAAGGTGTAGGCTTAGGAGTCTCCTGTGGCCTCGTTGTTAGGATTCCAGGCTTTCACTGCCGTGTCCAGGGTGCAGGCCGTGACTGAGATCCCGCAAGCCTTGCAGCCGTACGCACATTAAAAAGGTGCAGGCCCAAGGAGCCTCCCACTTGAGGAGAGGAGGAACAGCCAGTATGGGTTTGAGGAAAGTTTTGGTTTTTTGGTTTTCGCTTTATTGGATTTTCCCTCCTCCTAAGGTGGAAGAGCTTTGAGCAACTTACACGGGAAAGGAGCCAGTATAAAGAGAATGTTGGAGACAAATGAGGAAGAACCAATGAGGGATAAGGAGTGATTGATCAGGGACTTCCCTCGCGGTCCAGTGGTTAAGACTGAGCTTCCAATTGAGCTGTTACAGATGGAGAGCTTAGATTCGAAGCAAAAAGGTCACTGTGGGATTTGAAATATGTGTGTTTTTCAGTTTGGGTGGAGAGCTTTGAGAGAGGTCATTTCTGGTTTCCGTTCTGAGAGGAAAGGACCAGAGACACCAGCTGAGAGGTGTGGGAAGCAGTGGGGTA